TAATTAAGATTAGTTAGTTAAGGTAAACGTAACTATAATATAGTAGTACGACCGAAACTAAGTAGTTGTATCTTCTGAAGATACTATATATATATATATATATATATATATATATATATATATACTCCATCCCGTCAGAGAAACATCTGCGAATGGGTGCAGATCAGGAAGCTCAAACCTGGGAAGAAGGCACTGGTAGAGGAGAGGAAAAAGGGAGGCAAGACATAAGAATTCATGCAGGAGAGGGTTGGGGAAAAGAGGAAAGGGGGAATGTTGATGTGTAGCCTCTACCCTAGACTCCAATGTATTAACCCTTTTGAAACAGGTCACAGGTGAAAAGCCATGTTATCTCATCTGTTGACTTGCATTAAAAATTTTATTGAACTACTTCATGAATTTATTTCAATAACTCTGGTATCAAACTGTAGATTATAATTCAAATTTTAGAACTATACATTAATAAATTTTTTAATTTAAAAACAAATATTAAAAAACACATAAACATGGACTTTTGTGTGTCACGTGGTATACTGAATGCAGCACTGGTTCAAATTAGATGTTTGTGATGCAAAATACTAAGTTTATAGTTTCGTATGAATTAAAAACTCAAGTTACCGATATTGACAAGTTAGAATGTAAAATAAGAGCCTATTATCTTTTCTATTTGCTAAGATATTGCTCATGTAATAAATCAAACACAGTGGCACCCTACCCACCTCTTTCCATTTTTGGAAATGCTCCCTTATATACACATACTTCTATATATAAGATGAATAACCAATTGAAAGCTCAGAATGCTCCCCTAGTGACTTTCTTAGCCATTTTAATGTGTTTGGATGCCAGCTCTTTCTTTTGAACCAAGATTTCAAGGAGGTAGGTTGTGTCTTCAGTCTGCTCGAAATTTTAATATTTTTTAGACTAAAATACATCATAGTTACTAAGCTTGATAAATTATAGTAGAATTCTATGGTATTAATGTAGTAATTTATGATTTTTTTGGTTATTCAACTGTATATATAAACCGAAAAAAAATTACTCCATTTCATATCCTCCATGTAATGGTTACTGATAAACCGACAAATTTCGTTAACATTCACTTACTAATTTAAAAGTTATAGCATGAAAACTATAACAAGCACAAAAGGGTTTTGAGGTCTGTCCCAGGGACTGAGCCTGGGTTGACAGAGTTAGGAATATCCCCAAAAACAGACAAGTGTAAAAAAGAAGCCAAAGGAGGTCTCTTAAATAGGAAGCAGGGAGATGCACATGAGAAAAGAGGTCATCCTTGCCAAGAAGGTCCCAACAACAAAGGAGTCATGTACAAAGAGATAAGACAGAGGAAAATAAGCATGCCAAGATGGAAAACAGAAGAGCTTGTGTATTTGCGGAAAACCAGCCAGAGGAATAGTGGATAGCTTCGGACAACAGGTGAATGGAAGAAAGATAGCAGAGAACATTGGTGTTAAAATATAAACTAAATACAATCTACCCTCTGTTTCAGGTCTATCATGTTAAAATATAAATGAAATACATTCAACCCTCAGTTTGTTCTTGTATCAAGACCCTCGTAGAGATTAGTATATACATACATACACATGCAGTGAATACTAAGTTACTTAGTTTGACAACACTAAACAATTTGACACATATAATCATGAACATTTGAAAAGTCCAATCATATAAACAGTTTCAAACACTTAAACCCTTTTCTTTTACCAATCAAACACTTAAACTCTTGTCCTTTTACCAATCAAACACTTAAACCCTTGTCCTTTTACTAATCAAACACTTAAACCCTTGTCCTTTTACTAATCAAACACTTAAACTGTTGTCCTTTTACCAATCAAACACTTAAACTGTTGTCCTTTTACCAATCAAACACTTAAACTCTTGTCCTTTTACCAATCAAACACTTAAACCCTTGTCCTTTTACTAATCAAACACTTAAACTCTTGTCCTTTTACCAATCAAACACTTAAACTCTTGTCCTTTTACCAATCAAACACTTAAACTCTTGTCCTGTTACTAATCAAACACTTAATCCTTTGTCCTTTTACCAATCAAACACTTAAACCCTTGTCCTTTTACCAATCAAACACTTAAACTCTTGTCCTTTTACCAATCAAACACTTAAACTCTTGTCCTTTTACTAATCAAACACTTAAACTGTTGTCCTTTTACCAATCAAACACTTAAACCCTTGTCCTTTTACCAATCAAACACTTAAACTCTTGTCCTTGTAAACATTATTCATTTCAGATGGGTATAACAAAAAAAAAATTTTAGAAAAATATTTCTAATTAATAAATACTAACCTATTATTGACGATCAATGATTTTGATTTATCCAAAAATAAGTGATCTGATCATCTTAATTGTTTTTCCTTATTTCAAAGCAAGCAATCTTGTTTTATGCATACAATATTGGGCTGAGTAAAAAACCAACTGTTGCAATCCTAGTATATTAGTCTTCAAAATATAAACTTGTGTTTTATAATCAAAATAACTTTATCATTCTGAATTGTAAAACCTTCAATAAAACACTATTCTTTCGCAACAGGTAGGCAAAGTGCACATCACAACCTCTTACAAAGTTTGATTCAAAATTTAATCAAACTACTTTATTATCAATGTATAAGAGCAAAGTTGGCACCAAAATGCAGTTAATAAATCAAATTTTAATATTTTAAAAGTTATTAATGTTATCAGGAAATATTTTACAAAATCATCAATCCGTCCTAGTATCAGAATTGTGACATTCTAGGTATTCCCTCTTCTAATTGATTTACCACCCTTTACAGAATTTAATGTAAATTACTTATTATTACATAGACATTACTCAGGCAAAGCATAATTGTTATATCCTTCAATCTTATTTGTTTACACAGCCATAAGCTAGAAAATCAGATCCAACTGTCATGCACACCTGTCACATCCTTTCTTTCATGTGTTTTATTATTAAAAAAGTAACTAAAATATAAAGATTAGAAAGTTATCAAGACAGATAATGAAAAGAAAAGAATAATGATAAAAATTCTTCCTGAGGTATGCTTTTAAGCAACTTGTGCATTATGTAATGCAATCCTGTAATGTGAGCTATACATTTGCCATGATTTGCCACTCTTGTGGTGGCATTATTAGTTAGACATGATTCAAAAGGCAATAAAACAATAAAGATATGTACACTGTTACAAGCTTCAAGCTATTTACAAAAAACAACACTTCATGTTACAATTTACAATCATTTCGGAAAAAAAGAAGGATAATTTAGATTCATTTCATATTTTTTATGGTGGTTACAAAGTCGGTCAAATTGACCAAATGGGTGTAGAGATATGGCAGACAAAATAACAAATAAAATATAAAGTTTAACTGAAAAAAAAAAGTTTGATATTTTTCTAAGAGGTTTTAGAGATTACATAAATGATAGTTCACTATTTTCAGATAAACAAAAGTAGTTTTATATTTACATGTAAATCACTTGGAGTTCAACACTGACTCCTTATATTCATGGAAAAACTTTTAGTAAAAATACCTAATAAAAAAAAAACCTGATTTTTCACTAAAAGCTTGCCAAATTTTGTGTAGATACATTAAGTATTTTCAGAGTTATAGTATGTATATCTTTATGGTTTCATGGTGATTATGAGATGGTATAAAATACAGGAACTCATTGTGAAAGGGTTAAGTGAAAGTTCATCTAAATGACAAAAAATAAATTCCCAAAAGTTGTGCAAGTTAGACTTTTACATATATCTATGTACATTCTATTCAACAAATGAAATGATAAATAACTACAATATATTTTAGATCTTATATTCACATGTTAAAGCTCACTTTCTGAGAGGTTATACTCCGACACAGTAGCACTTGGTTCAGTTCTCTGAGCAATCCATCTCCTAAAAAATAAAAATGTACCTTTTAAATAAACCAATTCCATGTTCAATTTACCTAACAGACCTATATAGGTATATTTTTCTTCAAAGGTATAACGTGTCACATGAACTTGCCACTTTACAAAACCAAAATGTTCATTACGTTAACCACAATATACACTAAGTGACTAGTTACACAATAAATTATTAAAATATACTATAGCTAGCTTACAAAAGGAATATATATGCTAAAGTATTTAAAAGTGTTTCATATTTTCAAAACGTTTTTTTCTCTTCTATTTTCTTTACATTTTTTAATTATATCTCAAATAAGCAGAATATGCTATCAAATATGCACTTTAAGCAACCCACTATTCTACTTAAACCTTTACAGATGGGTCACGGATCAAAGGCCATATCATCATGTTTGTTTACTCGCATTCAAAATTTTATTGAACTACTATTTCATGAATTTATGTCAATAACTTTGGTATTAAACTGTAGATTATAATTCAGATTTTAG